CAGATGAGGAAAACTGAGGCCCGGAGAGCTAACATGACATAGCACAGGAAGGGAGAGAAGTGCACTGAACCCACAGATTTATCACCAGAACTGACTCTTCACCATGACTTGACCTGGCCTGGACTTCAGAGCTGCCTGGACATTCCCACAGTATCCTCAGAGAGGCAGGTCTGAAACGCGTTCCTTAGCAGTAATCCACAGAGGGCCTTAGTGATGATCATGACAGTGACAGACAAGCTTCCATAAACGCGTCCCTCCTCTGGTCAGCCTGTCTACCCACCCTCTCCCTGAGCCTTTCACCGCCTTGGCAGGGAGACAGGGGAGGCAGACACACTCTTCATTTCCATCCTGCAGACGAGCAAACTAAGCCTGGCCAATGGCCACTACACCCCGGCTCCAAACTTCCTGATTCTTCCACTGGTTTGCAGGCAGAACTGGCTATACAATTTGCAGGGCCTGGTGCAAAATAAAAATCCAGGACCCCTCATTCAAACATTACTAAGAATTTCAAGAAGGTGACAGCAGTGCATTTAACCAAGTGTGAGGCCGACCCTGTTTGCAGAACCTCCTTCCTGGATGATGCAGGCTACCGCCTGCCGGAACCCAGGTGGCTCAAACCAGGCAGCCCCATGGATTATGACAGAAATGGGCAAGCCGAGGGTCCATCTAGGAATAGCACCGTTACTGTCTGTACCCTAGTTTCCTCATCTAGAAGGCAGGTTTAACAACAGTCCTACCATGTTGGGCTGCTGTGTGGACAAACTGATACAAAGACTGCCTGGGAAGTGGTTCGCCCCGCGTCCCATGCCTCCTGAATGCCTGTATCAGCCAGCTCTGTTTTTAACACCACTTCCGGCTTTTGAAATGGGGGCGGAAACAAGACCCTCTCCACCAAACGCGTGCGCTCTGCACACAGGTGCTGTGTGTCAGCAGGAGAGCCCCAAGTGTAGGCTTCATTTGCATGTACACACTTAGGCCCAACCCAGGCCCTGACCTGCCTCTCCGCCCCGGGCACTTCCCGGAGGAGACAAGGAAAGAGAAAAATAAACAACATGGCAAAACACACGTGCAACACACCTACTCCAGAGCAAACCCAGACAGGGTGGGGGTGGGGGTGGGGTAGTGGGAAGCCCAGTCTCCACCTCCTTCCTTCCTTCTTTTAGATCCATACTGACCTAAGACTCTGGGCACCTGCCAGGTGAGCTGACCACCGGCCATTTCCATCCTTGCTCGAGTGGTGGGGTGAGAAGTTTGTGTGTACCTGCACACTTGCACAGTCTGGGGCACTGCCATTTGTGTGTCTTCCACCTTTCCTTTTGGGGGGTAGAGGGGGGCTGGCTCAGCCTGTCCCTCAAGGTCCTTCCTGACTCTCTGCCCCAGAACACAGATGAATGGGGCAGGAAGAGAGGATTACAGGATTACAGCCTTCCTTTGCAGAAACAAAACAAAACAAAACAGGAAAATGCTGCCCAGGACCTTCAGGGCTTCAGCACTGCCGTTGTGGACCTGGGTTCTGTCTATAAAGTCAGATTCAAACCCTGGGTTCAAATCCTGGCTCCACTGGTTTGGTGCTGTTGAACACCACAGTCAACATTTATTAACTACCTGCTACCCTGCCAGGGGCTGGATTAAGTGCCTCATCTGCACAATCTCATTTAATCCTTATAGTCCTTGAGGCTCCTGAGCAGGGTGGCGGCCTGAGGCATCTGATGACCCAGTGGGTGGAATTTGGGCTCCGGAGCTGGCTTCTTCACTGAGAAGCGGACATGAAACTGCTTTACAGGGCCATGGTGATGAATGGGCCCCTAGAAACATGAGGCACTGCAGCGCACAGGGCCGGGGACATGAGAAAGAAATCAGCACTCACACATATTACCACGGCATCAGCACAAATTACAGTGCATGTTATCACTAGTGTTACTACCACCAGTTTATGCCAGGGGAAACTGAGGTCCCAAAAGAGAGCCACGGAGAGGATGAGAATCGCTGTCCACGAATCCACTGCTGTGCCTCTCTCTGAGTTTCCAAAAGCGTAATCTTTGAGTTGCCCCAGACAGCAATCGCACAGAAACACGGAAATGCAGTGCCTCTTGATGCCTGTCTGGTTTAATCCAGGGCTGGTTAGTTAAGGGGCTGGAGTGCGGTGCACTGAGGACCCAGTGGAAGGCTGGTGGCCTCCGGGAAGGGACCCAGGCACTGCTGCTTCCGGCTAGGAGGGCGCCTCCTCTCCCCTCCAGCAAGCAGGGTGGCTTGAGGCCCTGCCTGGAGAATGATCTCCGGAGCCCTGCGCTCTCACCTGCACACCTGTCCCACTGGCTGTCACTGTCAGTTTCCTCTCTGGTCCCCTACAGAGAGACCTAAGTCTCTCCTGAAACAGCTATATGCCTCGTGGCTAGCACAGTGCCTGGTACAAATGACACACTCGCTGTCATTTGGTTCCCACTGGAATGATCTGGAGGAAGACAGCTCCTTTTAGACCCAAGAGAACAAGCAGCAAAGAGGAGTGGCTCCAAGCTGGGGCTCTGGGTTAGGCTGACTTAGATCCAAATCCCCACTCAGCAGCGTGGTCTCAGGCAGGACACTTCGTCTCCCTAGTTTCCGTCTCCAGTTTCTGTCCAGGTGCAAAAGGGATGACCATCCCTCACAGGGCTGCTGTGCGGCTTAAAGGAGGTGATTCTGCACGGGAAGGCATTCAAGCTCAGAGCTCAGTACGCAGCAAGCGTGTAATAAAAGCGAGTTGTGATTTTTACTACACCTGGTAGGATAAACCCATAGAACCTACCTGGCCAAGTGGACCATCCTGGTTCCCCGAAACCCTGAAACCTCCCCCTGGCTAACGACCTTTACCGGCCAGTGGCTTTGTCTGAAATCCTGTCTGGGGCTTCCCTGGACAATCTTGGAGAAGTCCCTGAGAAGGCTCACAGCGACCCCTGCTGTCTGCAATGAAGAACTGCCTTACACCCCCAGTCGGAGTGAACAACAATAGCAGGTATGGCCCCTCCAAGAAGGGCTTACGTTTTCAGGGGTTTAAGAAAACTCTCATCAGAACAATGGCAAGGAGAAGAGTCACCACATGTAATTATGTTCAGCGGACACTAATTCCCTGTCTTCTAAAAATAAATATAATACGTGAGATCAAACAAAGTGCTCTCTCTTCCCTTGAGGTCTTTTGTTTCCCCGGATAAGTGTCATCCTAAATATACTGCAGAACCAAGTGAAACTGTCATTTCGGCGGGATATTATTTCCTGATCAACACGCGCTCTTCTTAGCAAGACTGTTTTAATCTGGCAGTTCTTAAATTGGACTCCTTTTAAAAAGCAGAGCATGTTAAAGTAAGCAGATACACCGAGAGGCTAAGGATATATACCTTCCTGGAGGGATGACTGATCAACTGAGGTTTGGGGAAATGGGAAACATCCCCCAGGTCATGACCCCATCTTGCCAGGCTGTTCCTGCCGTGCAGGATACCCGGGGATCATCTAGCTAAGATCCTGTTTCCCAGATACAGGCAGGATTGGTCTCTCCCTCAGATCCCAGCTCACCACACACCACATCTGTTTATGAACTGAATACTATTGTATGATTTAGAACAAACAGGGGAAAAAGAGGACAAAGATTTCTGAAGTTCCCCAGATGACTTCTTATGCTTCAAACTACAGAGTGAAAGCAAAGAAGGTAGATGCCACACAAAGATAATTCTTTTTCATTTCCAAAACACAAGGCTTATTTTGTATCTACAGATTACCTTGCAAGATGCTAACTGGCAACTCTAACAGAGGCTTCACTCTCGGATCCTTGTGCAAGCATAGAATGAATGAACGAGACCTAGTTTGCAGAATTCTAAATGTTCACCCACACGCAGGCCACGGTGCTGCAGGTCCCCCGAGCAGTCCTGGATCCCACCCAAGCCTCAACAATGTGTTTGGGTGAAGCTGACTTCATCTACCATTACATTCTGAGAGCTAGATGGTCTCTCTACTACCCTGCCCATGCCTGGGGAGGGCTTGGCTTCAAGCAGTCCCTTCTTAGGCCCTGATATAAGGACATTTCTTTCATTCAGGGCTTGGTGCTGGGTGATGCCTACCTAATCTGAAAAAGCCAAACATTGTAACACGTCAGCATAGGGATCACCAACTAGCGGCCCTGGGGCAGGCCAGACTTTGTCTTGGTTTTAAAAAGTGAATTCGTTGCTGATGAATTCCCCTTAAGAATCCACATGGCTAGTTTCTTTCAAAACATGGGAACTGGTCTTATGAAGCCTGAGTTCCTGTGTGGCATCCCAGCTGGATGGCCAGAGAGAGGCCCTCCTGCTGCTCAGTCCCCACCCAGCCTGCTGCCGTTACCGGCTGGGTCCCCGTGACAGCTGCGTTTCCCACACCTGTGCAAGCAGGTGCTGACGGACTGCTTTACATGTGCAGGTAATTCACCTTCGTTTCCGTAGAGCCACTTAGGCCACTGGTCCCCAACCCCGGCTGGACATTAGGATCCCCTGGGGAGCTTTCAGCACAACACCGATGTCTGGACCCCACTGTTGAAAAATGGAATCCAACCCTCTGGGGATGCAGCCTTGGCAAAGGTGTGTTTTAGCCGTCGCCAGGTGGCTGGAATGTGTGGCTAAGGTGGAAAACTAGCACCTTAAACCAAAGAGGTGGCCTGGATGAAATTTCAAGCAGATCATGGGCAGGGCTGGATTTTAGCCACTGGGGCCCCTGCCCCTCTTGCACCTTGTGGATGGGGACAGGGAAGCCTGCCTGCCCTTTCTCCATCTGCCTTGGAGAGGGGAAACCTGGCTGTTTTGACTTTTTTCCTGCACAATGCTCTGGGGAGCCACAACTGAGATTAAGGGAGATAAATCAAAAGCAGCCAAAAGATGACCTTTGAAAGACCACTGAGCCGGCCTACAGCGGAACCATCCAGGACCCAAAGGCTACCTTCCCCGAGACTCGGGCAGGCTCCCCGCCCACAAGCCAGTCCCCTGGACTAAACGAGCGCTTCTCACCTGAAGAGCTCTCGGATCTCCCGGCTGTGGGCCTGGAAGGGGATGTTCCGCACCAGGATCTTGGAGGTGGTCTGCGTTCTGGGAACTTGTTTTTTCCGAGCTGATGTCACGGCTGGCCTGGAGGATGAGGGCAGAGGGTTCGAGTTATTCGGGGCTTCAGCAGCTCCTGCCCAACACTGACTTCACCACGCCTCCATCAGAATATTCAGGTGATGGATTCAAGGAGGGTGCATGGGGTGGGGGACCAACATGAAAGGAGAGGAAGGCGACAGGACCCAAAATAGCTGCAGACGTCAAGGGGACACATCCATGCCTGGGTGGCTGCTGCCCTTCATTTGAGAGACTCTGGGGCCACCAGGGACTTAAGGAGCCCCGCTAAGGGTGGGGCTGGTTTCTCACCAAACCCAATCTCTATTGTGTCTTTCTCTCCAGTTGCAAAGAAAGGCCCTGGTTGGTTTCCAAAGGTCTTGTTTGTGACACTTCATCAATAACCCGAGGAGGAACATGCGGGGGCCTAACCATGAAGATGGACCAGGGGGCGAACGAGGACACCCTCAGCCCACGTTCCAGGTCATCCCCAATGCAGTGCTACCTGACCTGTCCCCCTGCTCTCCCAGGGAAACCTCCCACTCCACCAAAACAGGGTAGGGAAGTGAGAAAGGCTGGGAGTTAACAAGCTGGGTATGAATGTCAAATCGGATACTTAGGATCTCTATGATCTTGGGCAAGTAACATGGCCACTCTGGGCCTCAGTTTCCTCCATTGTAGAATGGGTGTAATGATAGGCCAACCCAATTTGATTGTCTGAAGATTTAATAAGCAGACTCAGTACTGGACCCAGCATGTGGTAAACATTCAATAAATGGCAGCTGTTATGATAATAACCACGTTAGGACTCACCTCCTTCAGGCCTGCTCCATGTCACCTCCTCACAGGCCTTCTCTGTCTTCATTAAAATGGCAACCCCCCCACCCACACCCCCACCGGCTTCATTTCTCTTCCTGGCACTGACCCCTGTGCTAGTACATTACAAATTTAATCATGTTCCTTGGCTGCCACGCCTGGAAGGGAGGGGCCTAGCCTGAACCCTCGGCAAGGAAGGGGACAGCTACCCAGCACAGCTTTTTTTGTCTTGTCATTCTGGGGGCCATGCTGTCTCATACAGTGGCCACCAGCCACATGTGGCTAGTTAAATCTAAATTAAAATAAAGCAAAACTAGGCCGGGCGTGGTGGCTTACACCTGTAATCCCAACACTTTGGGAGGCTTAGGTGGATCACCTGAGGTCAGGAGTTCAAGATCATCCTGGCCAACATAGTGAAACCCTATCTCTACTAAAAATACAAAAATTAGCCAGGTGTGGTGGCAGGCACCTGTAATCCCAGTTACACGGGAGGCTGAGGCACAAGAATTGCTCGAACCCAGGAGGCGGAGGTTGCAGTGAGCCAAGATCACACCATCGCAGTCCAGCCTGGGTGACAGGGTGAGACTCCGTCTCAAAAAAATAGAAGCAGCAAAACTACAAATTCACTTCCTCAGTTGCTGGGGTATCAGGCTCCAAGATGGTCCGATGATCCCTGGCTCTTGGTGTTCATACCCTGTGTAATCCCTTCCCACGCTCTACCAGGGCCAGTCTGGGTGACCAGCAGGACACAGCAGAGGGATGGCGTGTGAATTCTCAGACTAGGTTGCAGAAGACATTGTGGCCTCCTCCTTTCCCATTCCTGGATCACTCACTCTGGAGAGACCCGCTGCCATGCCATGAGGACCCTCAAACAGTCCCAGAAAGAGATCCCCAAGGTGAGGAACTGAGGCCCCTGCCAGCAGCCATGTGAGTGTGTCATCTTCACGACAGATCCACAAGCCCCAGCTGAGCCTTCAGATGACTGCAGCGCTAGCTGACATCCTGACTGTGACCTCATGAGAGACCCTGAGGCAGAATTCCCAGCTAAGCTGCTCCTGAATTCCTGACCCATGAAACTATGAGACAACGTTTTGTTTTCAGCCTGTAAGTTCTGGGATACTTTGTGATGCAGCAATAGACAGCGAAAACAGTTGCACTTGCCACATCTCAAGAGCTAAATAGCCACGTGTGGCAATTGGCTACCATCTTGGACAGAAGAGATGTGGAACATTTCCATTGCTGCAGAAGCTTCTATGGAACAGCACTGCCTGCCCTAGGGTGTAAACTCCCAAGGAAACGCCATCCCCAGTGCCTAGGAGGAGGATATGGTACACAGTGGGCTTGCTGTAATTTTTTCTTGAGTAAAACAATGGTTCCATGAACACTGGCTAGGAAGTGAGATCCTGCAAGGCTGAATTCAGGCTGGCTCTCTGGAGATAGGGTACTGGACAGAAACCGCTGGCTCAGTGCTCATGGGCACTGCAAGTGCTAGATGCTTCACACACAACCTCTAGTTAGCACATTTCACTTCAGAGGCAAAGTCACCCATGCAAGGTCACAGAGCTCCTGGATTAGAAACTACAGGTGTGGGGCTCAAAGCCTGACCTCTTTCTGTTACACTAGTAGCTCAGGAACCCCCATTAGACTTCTGAGGGCCCCTGTACCAAGCCTTCTTCCCTCCAAGGATGCTTAACATAGCACAGACCACAATGGGTGAAGAACACCAGAGCTGGCCCAAACTGGATTCACAGGAAGCATTAACAACAAAGAAAAAAGGAAAAAGAAAGGTCAATTCGCTGGCAGCTAATTTGCTGGATGACCACAACAAATGACCAACTTGCTGAAAACTACCGAATAAATATCTGAAACCAGCTCTAGGGCTGTTAGAGGCAGTCATTTTATCACCCAAGGCAAGTAGATGATAATGACAATAATGGCTTACGCTGGGCACCTGTTATGTGCTGGACACTGTTGGAGGCACGTCGGGTGTAATAGCTCATTTAGATATACAAGCAAGTAGAAATGGAGGAGCAAAGCTAAATCTCCAAATAATCCCCCTACTTCAGTATACTGGTCATTGGGCAAATTGGTCTGCCTCCATCTCTAACACCTACAGAAAATAACATTAATTGGAGGCCATCGTAGGCACTGTCATTCAGCTCTAAGAAAGCATGTTCCATAAAGAGGAACATCTAGGTTTTACAGCTTCTTCTGGTTCATCCACAGCACCAGCAACCTCCAGCTCTTCCTTGGTTTATTTATCCCAAGATGAGTGTTGTTTGCCTGTTTCTCCTGCACTTGTTCCTTTTCTTATTTAAAAAAAAACCCCGTGCATTGAACATTCACCCAAAGGACTAACACTGTTGTAGTTCACTGGGAAAACAGGGGTCGGAGTTGGTACATGCTAACTTAATTAGGTATCTTAATTAGGAAGAGTCCTAAATGGTAAAGGGATGGGTGGAAAGGACATTTAAGGGTGAGAGACAGCCTCTAGGGCGGCTGGCAGCAAGAACAGGAAACCCCAGCTCATAGGAAAGGGAACTGAGGACACTGAAGACTCACTTAGTGGCTCGTTCCGAGATCCTCACTTCCAGCTTGTGGCTGTCCACGATGTGACCCTAAGAGAGAAGACAACATGGCTCATCTCTCTGTCCCGAGAAATCCTTCACCAGAGCAGAGCCCTGGCTCGCAGATGGCAGACTCTGTTCCCCAGCGAGTGGGGCTAGCTGGCCTCGAGGACAGAGGATGGCCTTTCCCTGAAATGGCTCACACCGAGCCCAGGCAGCAGCTGGTGGTCAGAGACTCAGCCCTTGGATGCTCTCTTAAGTCACAGGTAGGCCTTGACCTAGATGTCATTCAAGGGACACGGAATTTTCCATTGTTTATAAGCATGTTCAGGCAAAGTAAGGCCCATAGGTCTGGCTTGCAGAGAGAGTTGGGTTTAGTTTGTATGTTCCTGAAAAATATTCTAAATCATAGTGGAGTTGCATCTAAAGCTAGGTACTAACATTGGTCCCTCAAGGCGGAACTGGTGTATTAGCAAAATTACCCTTGAAAATCCCTTAAATCTCCCATAAAATACAGCACACAGAGCTTCGTAGGAACAATTCTTGGAGGCAATATTCACATATGCACGCACACAACGATGTCCAGAACATAATACAGTACACGTGCAAAGTAAAATTTCATAGAATCTTACATCACGTGAAAGAGAAATACGGACCACTGAACCTGCAGAGCCGATTTTAAGTTAAATGAGTACACAGCCCCTGACCAGGAAGAGCCTAGGATGTGGGGCATTATGAAGGGAGCAGAGGACACCTTCTCCAGCTACTAACACCTACTGAATCTCCTTCACATTAGCTGAAGGCCGTCCTAGGCACCATCATCCAACTCTAAGACAGTACATCCCATAAAGGAACCCAGGCAAGGCCACAGAGCTTCTGGATTAGAACTTAGGCTGGGCGTGGTGGCTCACGCCTGTAATCCCAGCACTTTGGGAGGCCAAGGCGGGCGGATCACGAGGTCAGGAGATCGAGACCATTCTGGCTAACGCGGTGAAACCCCGTCTCTACTAAAAATACAAACAAATTAGCCAGGCATGGTGGCAGGTGCCTGTAGTCCCAGCTACTCAGGAGGCTGAGGCAGGAGAATGGCGTGAACCCAGGAGGCAGAGCTTATAATGAGCCGAGATCGCGTCACTGCACTCCAGCATGGGCGACAGAGCAAGACTCCATCTCAAAGAAAAAAAAAAAAAAAAAAAAAAAAGGAACTTATAGGTGGTGCAAAATTTGCCCTGTGGTTTGGTGCCAATCCCAGGCTGTCTTGTTCCCCCAGCTCCCCTCCTGCTAGAGGGTCCCAATCTGTCCTTGAACTTAGGATCTAGCAGGAAGGCATATCTCCCTTCTCTGTCTGAATAGGATGTTGAGTCTTTGTCCAAACAGTTTTCGATTTAGCCCTGTTCTCCCCACCTTCTCCCACCCTGGCCAAGGCTGGATGACTCAAGGGTCTCCTACCTGCCCCCTGCCCCCAGCCATCGTCCCCTCTCCACACCAGCAGCTGCAGAGGCTGGAGCAGAAGCCAGTGTGCTCACGGCCCTCTAATGGTCTCCAACTGCCTTTAGGCTGAGCAGTAAAATGGCCTGGAAGATCCTGCCCTGCACACCTCTCTCCTCATCCTGCACCCTGAACCGCCACCCCACGCCGCCCCTGCCACAGTGGCCTCTTTGCTTTTCAAATGTACTAAGCTCATTCCCATCTTACAGCCCCTGCCTCAGACCCTCTGCACATGGTCCCTCCTCCCAAACTACCTCCCTCCCAGATCGCTGTGCAGCTGACTTCTGGCGAAGCAGGTGTGGGCTCAACTGTCACCTCCTTAGAGAGGCCTTCCCTGACCACACAGCCTAAGTGCCCCACCTCCACCCCCAACTTGCAGCTTTGTCTTCCTAACCTGGTCCTGCATGTTTATTCAGAGGTCCATGGCCTGTCTACCCCACCAGAAAGAGGGGCCCACATCAGCAACCTCTCCCAGGCCTAGCACACTCCTGGCACACGTCAGGCCCTTGATAATAGTGCTATGGATCGAATGAACAAACTATGGTGACTGTGGAGTGTTGGGAAAGGTTCTTAATTTTTTCTTGGGCCACAGTGCCCTAGAGATCTGGTGAAAGCAATGGGCCAGGTCAAGTGTAGACTTCACACACATTCCCACTCAATTTCAGAGGGCTGACAGGACCTCCCACTACCCGCCAAGCGCCTCCGCGGCCCTCAGCCGAGAATCCTTACTTTACCTGGAGCTGCTTGAGAGCTTTCTGGGCTTGCTCCGGCTTCCTGTATTCCACAAATCCAAACCCCATGGAAAGCAGTGCTCCTAAGAGAGAGAGGTGGAAATCACACCAGTGGGTGAAGCGGAAGCACAAGGCCAAGTGCAAGGGCTGTGACGGGCCCCCAGACCTGCGCTGTATTTTCTCTTATTTTCATACCCCCTTCATTCCCCAAAAATCTCGGCTCCTGGCTTACTGTTTATTACTAGTCATCTTGACGAATCAGTCAATGCAGTTAACAGGGCTGCCACCTGAGGCTCATTTGACTATTAATTAACAGATGACTGACATGATAATTAACTTCATAATAGGATTCTGCTTTGGGAGGGAGACTGAACTAAGAGAGATGACCATCATGAAGGGCAGTGGCAAAACTTCTACCTGGGCAGTCCTCTGCGTCCACACGTAATGCCCAAAATGAACATGTGCGTGAGAGTCAAATGCACCAAAGGCTTGCTCTTCACAAACAATATTTCTCACCAGCCAATCCCATTCAGTTCTTGGGTTTCAGATATAAAGTTTGGATCATGTGGGCGACTGCATTATTCAAACTTCTCTGGTTCCTTACTTCTAGGATGCAAGTAGCAAGAGTTCAGATAGCAAAGAATCCTGCAAAAATTTCATCAGAAACTTCTGCTTCGTCACTATGTATGACTGGGGAGGGAGGAATGCTTTTATAGGGCACTAAAAAACATTAAGATCCCTAATTACATCTTGCCCTCTTGACATTAGATTTGATGTCCCCCCACCTTCCACTCACACCCCAGCATTTTATACGTATTTGTTAGGTTCATTCTTTATTGTGAATTCAAAGATTCACTTCAGTCTGATGGGTTCAAATGAGGCTCGAGGCTCTCTACCTTTGGCTCACTTTGCAGTTTCTATCTTTACCTTTACTGTGCTGTTTGTGAGACCTATGCTCCTGCCGTTCCATGGACAGCAGGTGTTCAAAATAAGAGCCAAGTGCATTAAGGAATTCCATTAATTGCCCATACATGGCTCAGACAGAACTGACAGCCAGTGCCACCCCACGGCAACTTTAAATGTTCGTTCTTCAAGCAGATACTGCTCGAAAGCTCTCTTTTGGAGGCTGAGGCTGCAGGTGGTGGGCTGGCATGTCTGCGTACCTATGAGATTTTAAAAGCGCAGTGACTGTGTGAAAGGCAACCGTGAGAAGGTCAAGTTCATCTCTGAGTTACTGACACTATGCAGATCCACTCTCCGCCACCATGTCTATGGGAAGCTGACCTCTATAGACAGCTCTGCCTGGACTCCCCAGATTCCTGGCTTCCTGTTGGCATCAGCCAGCAAGAGGCTCTGATCTGGGATTGGGGGGTGGGGGGATGGAGGAGAGAGAGGCTGGAGTACTGGATCCTTCCTCACATCCCCATCTGCCTCCTTGCTTTGGGTGGCTCTGCAGTGGCCATGTCCAATCCATGGCCACCACTCCTGCAGGTTATCTCGTGGCTCCAACTCTCAGCTAAGCTCTGGTCACACACTTTCCTCTAATGTCCCTCCAGGCAAGGCAGGGGAAAAGGCATTCTTCCTACAGAACCCACTCCCTGGACATCCCTGTGGGCTCCCTTAGCCCAGCCACACCTTGGCCCCTTCCTTACAGACATCTCTGCTCCAACCCCAGCTGAGAGTGCTTTCTGTCTCCTGCTGCAACCCTGACTGATACACATTGTCTAGACTTTCCCCAAACTGTGATGGACGGGCCCCAGAGAACAGGGCTCTCAAATACAGGCCCTTGAAAAAGAGAGTGTATGTTTTAAGAGCTGCTTATGACATGGAAAGATCAGATAACCACTTCTAAAACATGCTGAAGAGCACTCCCCAGGAGGACAAGGCGGGCCCCACAGAGCATCTGACTGGGCGCAGTGAGAGGCAGGGATAGCCACCTCCACCTGCTAGCCTGGGTGTGCCTCCGTCTGGGTGTACCCCCATCCTGGACTTCAGCAACAACTTTTTTGTTTTTTTTTCCTGAAATCCTCACAACTGGTCCTTCTCATCATTAACTTGGTACTTAGCTGCCTTTCCTTGCATCCAAAACTATATATGAAGACTCTGGAGAACAGGGATGTTAAGGGGTAAACGGTGTCTTCCCAGACTCACATGTAGAAATCCTGACCCCTAGTATCTCAGATGTGACCTTATCTGAGACAAGCTCTTTACAGAGGTAACCAAGTTAAAATGAGGTCACAGGCCAGGCGTGGAAGCTCATACTTGTATTACCAGCACTTTGGGAGGCCAAGGCAGGCAGATCACTTGAGGTCAGGAGTTCGAGACCAGCCTGACCAACATGGTGAAACCCCATCTCTACCAAAAACACAAAAATTAGCTGGTGTGGTGGCACGTGCCTGTATCCCAGCTACTGGGGAAGGTGAGGCAAAGAATCGTTTGAACCCAGGAGACAGAGGTTGCAGTGAGCTGAGATGACACCACTGTACTCCAGCCTGGGTGACAGACTCTGCCTCGAAAAATAAAAATAAATTAAATGCAGTCATTAGGGTGGCCCCTAAATCCAGTATGACTGGATGACTGCTGTTCTTTTAAAAAAAGTGTGGGTGGATTTGAACACGGGATGGGCATATACAAGGAGGATGTCCTGTGAACATGGAGGCGGCCATCTATAAGCCCAGAGACAGGCCTGGAACAGACCTTCCCTCACAGCCCCCAGAAGGTACCAACTCTACTGGCACCTTGAGCTCAGACTTCTAGACTCCATGGCTGTGAGACAACACATTTCTGTCATTTAAGCCACCCAGTCTGTGACACTTTCTTATGGCAGCCTGGTAAATGAATACAAGGATGCTCTGACTTCTGTGCCATATGTCTGCTTACAACCCTCCATGGCTCCCCAGTACTTCCGGGGAAAAGTCAAAACTCTTCTCTGTGTGTGGCATAAAAGCCACTTCACGGTTTGGAACTCGCCTACCTTTCTAGGCATATCTCCTGCCTCTTCCTCAACAAATTCCCCAGGCTCGGCCACTAGTGTGAGTGGCCTCTGAATACCTTGTTCCCGCCGCCTGGCTGCTCTGCGCCCCTAACCCTCCCAGCCTTGGGCTGATGTGGCATCCATCCCCTGTGCTGGACTCCTGTCCCTGCCATCCAACCTCTTGCTGCACTCTGCTGTAACCACCAGCGCATTTCTCTCTCCAGCTAGACTGTGTGCATGCTGCGGGCAGGGCTGCGTCTCCCTCAGTCTTATATATAACTAACACCGTGCCTGCTGCCTGGTGGGGCCTGGGGACTGTTTGAGGAATAACTCAACAGTAGACATTCTGGCCACCCAGTACTTTGCATTCAGCAGGTGCTCAGGACACAGTGTGGGCTGACACATGTGGCATTCCTACAAATCCTGCCAAACCAAAGGGACTCAGGATAGGGCTGGCACGGCTGCGCAAAAGCAAGGACGTATCCCCTGCAGGAAGCCAGGGCTGGAGAACAGCCCAGCAGAGGCCAGGAGACTCAGGATAGCACCCAGGGCCGAATGGAGAGACGAGGGTGCTCTCTGCCTGCCCATGTACCCACTGGCCTGGGAGGTGCATGGTTAGTAACTCAGGAAAATCTGTGTGGTTAATGACTCAGTGGAATGTTCCAGAAGATCTACAATTGGGTTATCTCCCTCAGAAGGGAAGAGGGAGAGCGCAAGACTGGTTGTTTCTTGCTATTTCCTAGCAAACTTTCAGAGCACAGACGTGCTGGGAGGAGGCAGAGCCTCTAGATACCATCCAGGGTCCTCGCTATCTGCCCACAAATGGCACCACTCTGAAACCATCCCGGCGGTTTGAGGTGCTGGAGGCTCTAGGAGGATCTGACCCGAGAGGCTGCTTCGACTGGAAAGCAGGAGACTCCAGGGAAACAGAAAGAGGGGCTACTTTCAAAGAGTCTGAGGCCGACCATGCTTCAGAAAAAAAGAGAGCCTTCAAAATGTGAAAGGGAGAACTCCCTCAACTCCTTGTCTGAAGCTGGAGCTTCTTTTGGAAACCACTCTTTCCGGCTGAATACTGAATACTTTCCGAATTTCATGCGGAATACCTGTTTTGTTCTTCTTCTTGGAGATAGAGCAGCTCTTCACTGTCCCCACTTTTGAAAACACCTGGATAAGAAAGTAACAAGTATCATCAGCAGCTCTAAACCACTATGCAGGCAAGGGCCCCTGTCAAACACTATACCCCCAAATTTGCCATATGGACAACTTGGGGTCCCCAAAACATTTTGAGGTGATGAGTGATGACCTTCTTTAAGTAACCTGGACAGTCCCCTAGGGTTCCCCATAAGAGCAGCTGGGCTTGTTTCTTGTTCCAGTTTTAGAAGAAGGAAGTGGGACACAGAACAGTGAGAGACTGACTGTAGATCATGCAATCGGGAAGCCGGGCCTAAGTTCTGGAGCATGGGGTCTACTGTCCCAGTCCGGGCCTCTCACTGCCCCCTGCACCAAATGCTAAAATAATTTTTACAAAAATTTTAAGTCATAGTCTATTCTATTTTCCCCTTAACTTTTTCTGTCTCCTTTGCTAGCATTTGAAACCCAATCATAGCAAAATCCATGTTTACCTGGTTCCCGACTGTGTCTGCAGCACCACACACGGGGCCCAGGGAAAGGCAGGTGCCCATTCACCAATGGGCAACGGGGAAGCCCAGGGGCCCAGGAGAATCTTCAGAAACAAATACTACGAGCAGCAGCCGCTTACTGACTCTTGTGTTTAAAGTGTCAGGTGCTTTACTTGGAATATCTCCTTCACCCAGTCATCAAAACAACTCCATGAGAAGAATCTATTAACATCCCCATGTTACAGATGAAGAAACTATGGCACAGAAAGGCTGACAGACTCACTCAGGGTCACATCATTAGCATGGAGCAAAGCTGGGATCCAAGCCCAAGGAGGCTGATTGCTAACCACGGCTCTGCACTCAGGGCGTGAGACAGGAGCCCTGGGAACTAGGGGCTCTTCCCCTGAGGGCCTCAAGTGGACTGTGTGACCTAAGGACAGTGAACCAGCCTCTCTGAAGCTCAGCCTCCAGCCATGTTCCATGAAGAGAGTGAACTAGGTCATCTTGGCTGTGACTTCCAGCTCCAGAATCGTTGAATTCAGAGGATGCTCTTGGGCTGCTGTTTGCGTGCATCTCCCAGGAAACAATGATCCCGGATAATGATGTTCCCATACCAGACCCGCACCAGAAAAAAAATAAAACTAACGTTCAAATCTATCTGACGTATTCAAATCTATCTACCTTTTGGATGCTACCAGCACATGCCACTGTTTAAAAGCAAAGCAAAACAAAAATGGAACCAGGAAGTAGCCAAAGGCAAGTCTAAGGGTGGGTTTCCAATTGCTTAATAAGGTAAATCTTAGCTCCTTAAACGCTGCGGCTTTAGTCAGGGTATCTCTGCTGCTGGGGCCACTCTTCTGATAGGTAAAGGGACAGTCACATCACAGAGGCCGAGTCAGAGGGTCACAGAGGGGCTGTGACCCTCTGCCTCTCTACCACACCCCAACCTTTGCCTCCGTATCATCTGCCCACCATGTTCCTACCCCTGAGGCTCAGTGGACACTGTCTTCTCTCTTGACCCCATGATAGAATTTTAGGGTTCAGAGGGATTTTTAGAAATCAATCAGGTCCATTCTTATGGCCAGCTTCTTTCCCAGAACAAGTTGATGGCTATCAGCCTGCTGTTGTTATTCATTAAAACAAAACAAAAAACTGAAAAACCCATTGAGTGTTTATTCTGTGCCAAGCCCAGTCTCTAGAAATAAAGGGTCTCCTGAGGGAGGTGCCACACAGTAGGGGAGCTTGCAGACCCCACTTCTTTGGAACTGGAGGCCCCGTTGTTTCCTGATCGCTGGTCCAATTCCTTCTAGAAGCCCCCTGCCCTCACTCAGCACAGCCCTCATTTGGCTTTTACCAACCTTCTATTTGGAGCTCCCTGCCCTTTCATCCCCTTCCCTCTTCCCATAAATGCAAAAATCTCACCCCATCCAGGGATTCCAGGTCAGGCCCAGACCCTCATTCATTGACGTGGCTTCTCCATTATTCCCAGCAGGCTGAGAGGATTGTGCTGACATTGACTTTTGGGTAGTTTACATCATAGAAACAACTATTGCCTTCATATTACACGGTCTCCCTAGAGATTCTGGTATGTCTCCAAAGCATATGTGGTAGCCCCTCTCAGGCCCTCTGGCCAGCCTTGCTACTGCTCTAGTCTTCAGTTAAGCTGTCTACTGGACACCCCAGGAGAAGGGGTCAAGTAGGTGGTGCTGGTTGTTGCCCCAAGTGCATATTAACACGCATCATGTTTTAAGGCAGAATCAATGCAGTAGCCACATCAGTAGACTAGGGTTTCCCATCCCACACCCCTCCCTACTGGGCTGAGAAACCACTCACTCCCTTCAGCTTCTCTTCTGTTGTGTCAAAATTGAGATTCTTAATAAACAGAGTACACCCTGGGAGACTCTCTTCTTCTTCTTCCTCTTCCTCCTCCTCCTCTTCCACATTTGCTGAAGAGTTGTCTACTCCTTCCTCTGTTGGATTTTCATCTTCTGGGCTTTCACCATCAGGCACTAAATCCCCATCAAAACAAAGACAAAAACATCAAATCCACGAAATAATGTCAAACCCACCAGAGCTCTGGGGCCAACTGCAAAGAGCCTACTCGGTAAAGGGGTTCTGCCTCTGCAGGCAGTGGCAGGAAGGGGCACTGTGATCCCCAACTTGTGCTGAGCTTCAGCAACTCTTGAGACAGAGAGAAAGTCCTGCCCCTGCTATGTTGTAAAGAGAAAGGAATACGAAACACAGCCCCCAAACAGAGCCTAAACAGGACCAGCTCACACTAATTTGAACTTCAAAATAAATTACCATGTGAACTGTTTTACTAAATCACAAGCCTAAGCAAAATGTTATTTTTCCTCAAAACAATAGCCCTTAGTGAACTTTCAAACTAAAATGCAACTTAAAACTTTTCAAAAATTATAGGATGGGAGCAAAACTTAGGAAGCGTCTAAATACTACTCCCTTGAGCCTAAAGAATGTTATATACCATCAAAATCCCTCATATGCACTACTTCAGGAAGCATATACACAAAAAGTGTGGTTTTGTCTACACATATTAAATTCAGAGTTACGCATCACAGGGAAAAACTGGAAATACTCGACGTTCACAAACAAGAGACTAGGTAAGGTAGAGAACCACCAAAAGCTGGAATAATATGTAGTCATTAAAAATGATGTTTCCAAAGAACGTTTAATGACACACAACAAAGCTCATCACAAAAAAGTTAGAGAAAAATTAAGATATTAAAAAAAGTGTATACTGTAATTTTAGAAAATGTTCAAGGTAATTTAAATCATGATCTAAGCCAGGTGCAGTGGCTCATGCCTGTAATCCCAGCACTCTGGGTGGCTGAGGCGGGCAGATTACTTGAGGTCAGGAGTTCAAGACTAGCCTGGCCAACATGGTGAAACCCTGTCTCCACTAAAAATACAAAAATTAGCCGGGCATGGTGGTGGGCACCTATAATCCCAGGTAATCGGGAGGCTGAGGCACAAGAATTGCCTGAACCTGGGAGGCAGAGGTTGCTGTGATCAAGCCATTGCACTCCAGTCTGGGTGACAGAGTGAGACTCCATCTCAAAAACAAAAAACAAACAAAAAACACGATCTGCACATTTATGAGAAAACATACAAGTGTGTACACACACACACACACACACACACACATCACAGGAAGGAGATGCATAAAGTGCTCCTGGTTTATTTCTGGAGAATGGCATTAGGGATGGTTGTCATTTCAACCTGTCACTGCTAGCACTTTGTGCCGCTCCTACTCTGAAAGAACAGCATTTTAGGGAGAGGCTCTTTAGAGAGGTTCTCTAAAGAGCAAATATGAAGCTGTGAGTTAGCAAGGGGTGTGTGTGTCTGTGTGTGTGTCTGCATGCGTGTTGTCTGTGTGTCGCTGCAGCTCAGGGAGACTAGACCTGCTAGCTGCAGTGCCCCTAAGCATGTAGATTTCATTCTCAGCTGACAGAAGCCTCAGGAAGTTGGAACAGGGCAGTGTCATGATCTTTTGAGAAATCTTAGGAGGAAATGTGTTCAATTCGTTTCAAGCTCCCCAATTTCCCCAAGTCACATGATTAGGACCTGGAGACAAATTCCTCCTCCAAAGACAAGGCTTCTGAAGCTATTCCCATATCCCCCAGGAAATCAGACTGTCTTAGCAATTCTTCGGAGCAGTTCTCAGGCTGTGCCTTCACATCCCTCACCCTCAATGTTTCTAAGCAGATGACCAGTGACCTCCCTTAAGAGTTAAACCCTGCACCCTAGCCTGGCAGAAGCACCTGGAGGTCCCATGGGCGGGTAGGCTGGAGCTGATGGAGACAGCCTGCTTCTTCTACTTACACCTTCACTTGCATAGTTCAAACTTCTGCATGATGTAAGGGGGCTTTCTGGGGTTCAGCTCCATCCCACACACTCTCACTGCCAAGCACCAAAGATGCCTCTGTCTGTCGTGCCCTTTCTGATGGAAGCCTAATGCTTTCAAGTCCTAATTAAGCTTCGACCACTTTGTCATAAAACAACCCTTTTAAGTCCTTACAGAAACAGCTACCATGATAATCCTGTCTCTTTAACATCAGTTGAACACACTGCCTTCCTCCCTCTGGTAAGCCCAGAGTCAAGACTCAGATACCAGGACAAAAAGAAGAAATCTACACAAAGGCTCCTCCCCCATCCAAGAAACTAACACAATTTACCCAACAAGACAGACTCCATGGTGTGGCCCTTTGTACTCAAAACCCAACTTTCAAACAAAGCTGGAGGAAAAAGTACCACGAATGGTGAGAACTAAAGCTATGCAAGGCAGCTAAGACTTCAGGTCCTGGACCAGAACTTCAATGGAGATGAAAACCATGACCTTCAGCAGGGAATATTTCCACCCCGCTGGCCCTCCTTGGCGTTTGACATCTTGGAGATTAAAGGAGAAAGGAAAGAACACTGATGAGGTCCCCTACCATGCACCGGGCACATGGTTGGATGCCCTGAGTACGGTCTCACTCATGACCACAGCAGCTACATCACAGAAAACGGGGGGCCCAAGGAGAGTTCTGGAGGCTGCCGCATCGGAACCCGAAATCTCAGGCACCTTCTGGTTGATGAGACAGGTTCATGGAAGACTGGAAAAAAATTTTATAGAAAAAACCACAGTGAGGATGGTGACCAAGAGGGCTCATGGCCACTTTAAGGGAGCAGCCCCTTCTTGGCACCGGCCAATTGACAGAAAGGTCAACCTAGCGTGGTCAGAATTCAGATCTATTAAGAGAAGCAGGAAATCCAGCTTTACAGAGGAAATTCCATGGTTTTTAAATCTTGGCAACTTAATGGCAAGTGACTTTTAAATTAGGCAGTAGTCAACAAGTACACCAGCTCAATGAAACCTCGGTGCTCTGCTCCCTGCATCTAGCCTGCCCCAGAGCACTGGCAGATGCCCTTCTGTCTTTCTCCCCCAAGGCCCTGGAACCCAGCCAGTGCCCAGTGTGGCATTCTAGGAGTTCCAAGTCTCACAAGGATAACAACCCGGGGAGCCCAGCACCCCTTAGCGTGGCTGGAGTTGACTCCACACTGCCTCCCTGGTCCATGAGCGGTGGCTGGTGTGCTACAAAGGGCATCATTAAATGCCCAGGCACCTGCCCAAGGAAGTGTGACGTTTGGGTTTAGTAACAGAGCTGAGACCAGGATTGGACAGATCCCTTCCCTGGCAGATCAGCTGCCCTTAGCCCCAGCCCAGGAAGAACAAGAGGGAAATGTGAGGATGGTGAAGACTGATTATCTGGGTGTGCAGTTGGCCCGGCATGGGGCTCACCCGGCATCTCCAACCTCCCATAAGTCAGCCTCTTACCCTCCCCTTCGGGAGGAACACCCAGCTTGAAATGAAAGATGTTCTCAAAGGGGTCTGCCTTTCCTCCAACAGCGCAGGCTCTGGATGACCCCGGAGACGTCCGTTCTTTCCCCGAACCTTGCATTCAGAGCAACCACCACCCTAAACCTGAAACTTCACCCTGGATCCTAGAAGAACTAACAATTCAAGGGTATCATGGTCTTTAGAGATCTACTGGAGAAGGGCCCCGGAAGACGAGGGCAGGCCTAGTCCCAGCCCTGCCACAACCTAGCTGCATGACCCTGGGCGAGTAACTTCATTGCTGTCTCAGCACCCTTATAAAATGGAGTTTATGAAAACCACCTCTCCCCTGATACCAAAAATACATACACAAACAAAAACCCCAAAGTCATACTAATTTGTAGGAACACTGGTAAACAGAACAGTGAGTGACTGTAAACTCAATTACCAAATTTTAAAAGGACGATGATATAATAATTATGAACAAGAAGGAATGCAAAATCTACATTTGAAGTTTAAATGAACTGTAAATTAATGTGAGTATGTTGTATAGGATGTATTGTATAGGTTGTTTCAAAACCCAGCAAAACACAGGTGTATACAGACCACTGACAAAGATAATGGCCCTTCCCCCTCTCTCCCACAAGGCCCTGGAACCCAGCCAGTCCCCAGCGTGGCATTCCAGGAGTTCCCAAGTCTTACAAGGGCAACAACGTGGAGTGCCCAGCAGCCCTCAGCATGGCCTTCCAGGTCCATGAGCGGTGGCCGGTGTGCTTCGAAGGGGGAAGAGTTGTTATCTTTGCCAGCAGTCCTTATACACTTGCGCTTTGCTGGGCTGTTTGGAAAAGCAAGTATCCACTACTTCCTCCACATGCCAGGCCATGGCTCCATCACCTCTCACCTCACCAGAATGACTGAAGAGCCTCCTTGCTCCTGTGCCCTCTGCCCCTCTCTCTGGCTCACCACTTTCCCTGACTTCATCCCTTACCCTTTTCCCTTCTCTCCTGTCACCTCCATTCTAAACACACTGGTCTCTTTTCTGGTGGTCGAGCCTGCCAAGCCCCCCTCCCTACCACAGAGCCTTTGCACCTGCTGGCCTCTGCCTATTCTGCTGGTCTGCTGCATTCCCAGGCCTGGCTCCTTCTCACACAGCCTCCCCGCAGGGAGCTCATCCTGTCCACTCTAGTTCAAGCAGTCTCCAGCCCAGGCCCAGCCACTCGCTGTTCCATTCTTCTGCTTTCCTGTTTTCAGAGCCCTGTCCTGTTCTGGCATCACCGTATGAAGCAGTTTGCTCCTCTATCTGTGCTCCCCAGCTACACGGAGAGCTTGAGGACAGGACCCAGTCTGACTCAGTTGGCACCGCATCTCCAGCACTGGGCTCAGAACAGATCTACTTGTGGACCATGAGTATGCTGGGCACTCAGCATGCGCCTAGAACACAGCGATCACGAAATAGCCCTTACTGTGATCAAGAGGAGCTGTGGGGTTTTAGGTAAGAGCATAGGCCTCAGAGTTGATGGCTTCAGGTCACATCCCAGCTCTCTCCACATGTGTGACCTTGCTCAAGTCATGCAAACTCTGTGCTTCCTTCTTTCCATCTAAAAAGGGGCTGGCCATCATGGTGCCTACTTGCAGGACGATGATGAGAATGCATGCAGAACAGGCTGTGAGACCTGAGCCTGGGCCTGAAGTAAGTGCTGCGAGAGAACAGTTTTGTTCTTAATATCATCCCTGCTACCCACACTGCCCAGCAGGCCTTGATGAGAGAGAAATCCAGGGGAAAATGTTGGAAATCCCTAACCCTGGGAGAGGTAAGACAACCCAGTGTGGGGAGCCCCCGGCCCTCCTTCCCCTTCTCCCTGCAGGGTGAGCTGCTGGCTTCATGCTCCCAGGAAGGCCAGCCAAGGCCAGGCGTCCGAGTTCACAGCTGGGCGCCACTGCCAGTCAGCTTCTGCTCCCCGAGTCACCAGGCCAGGCTGTGTCCAGAGAGGCGTGGAGACAGCCAGGAGCCAAGGCCATGAAGCCAAAGGTTATTTTAAAAAGCACTTCTGCTGCTGGCCCCAAGTCAGGAGACAAAAGAAAGATGGGAAAGAAAAAAATAAGGTATTGTGAAACTCAAACAGATGTTTGCCAACAAAATCACCAGGAACCAGAAAAAGAGGGAAGAAGTGAGACAGGAATCAGGGTTGGGCCCGGGGGCGGGGGAGTGAGGGGAAGGATCTAAAAGCAAGGTGGGCTGGAGGGGGCTGGGAGAGGCAGGGGGAAATGTGCTTCCATCTGTAGTTAGCACAATCAAATCCAGTCACGCATCGCCACATGGGGCTTTATTATAATCAGGCCACAGAATTTACTGCGGCCTCCTCCCCTTTCCCGGCTCTCGGCGCTGGAGCTGACAGCAAAGACTGTTATCAGTTGCAAGCAGCTTTTCAGGACCTCCCCCCACTCTGAGCCCTTTATCTGGAGGTGAGGGTCTCGGTTGTGGGGAGATAAAACATGCTGTCCCCCTCCCTCGAGACTGGTACAGAGAACAGGAGAGCTTTGCAGAAAGGAAGGGGGTAAAATAAAAAAAAAAAGCTACGTCCACTCCCCTCCTACTCTTCTTCCTTGGGAGCCTGAGAAAACCCAGGGCTTTGGGGGCTGGCTGAGTCCCCCTCAGCCCTCCTTGTCTTCATACCACGGGGGAGTTGGGGATCTGGCGAAGCTTCGAGAACAATGCAAAGAGGGCGGGGGTGGGGAGGAGCAGGTGAAAAGAACAGCACCAGTCAGGAGGGGCTGTGCACGGGCTGCCTGCAGTGAGAGGGCAGGAGGAGGCCCTGGAGATCAGCTCTGTGGGAATTCACCAATGACGCAGGACGCAGTAGGGCTTGGAATTAGTACAGACACGCACAACTTCCCGGGCCAAAGGAGGCCCGGCGGCCAGCCGGGCTCTAAGGCCTTCTTTGTGTGAGTCATGGTCAGGCCCTGGAAAGCAGCCCCTCTGGGAGGTAGGGGCTGTTGGGGACATGCTCCAACCTGCAATGTAGACCCAGAAAGCTGGGGGACCCGCGGGGCAGGGGGTGGGAAAACACTCTGACGGTAAACCACAGCATACTATCTCCGCGACACACCCTATGCTGTGCTGCAGACATTGCTGTACTCAGGGCCCACTTCTATTACTACTTGTGACATCTCACTTGTCCCCCAACAGCTCTATTGTCCTCCACAGCTGAGGAGTTCCTGGGGAAGGGGGTCTGTGCATCTGTGTGGTATCCATCTTGATCGCCCAGCTCGGCTGCTGGCTCAGGGCTGGTGCCCGTGGTGAGTTAAAGACTATTCACTGTGACATATTTTTCTAAATTTAATTTTTGAGATAGGGTCTCGCTCTGTCACCCAGGCTGGGTGTAGTGGTATAATCTCAGCTCACTGCAGCCTCGATCTCCCAGGCTCAAGTGATCCTCCAAACTCAGCCTCCTGAGTAGCTGGGACAACAAGGCATGCACCACCACGCCCAGCTAATTTTTGTATTTTTCGTAGAAATGAGGTTTTGTCATGTTGTGCAGGCTTGTCTTGAACTTCTGGACTCAAGTGATCCTCCTGCCTCAGCCTCTCAAAATGCACTGTGATTTATATTACTCGGTCACCAACAGCAGCAGAAGACTGGTAATGTGCATGTGACATCCCACCATGCCCTCGGGGGATGGGGCAGATACAACACCCATTTTACAGATATGGAAACCGAGCCTCAGAGAGGCAGGTGGTTTGTCCAGTCACAGAGTGGCTGCTTATTGGAAATCTCAGGGCCATTTCTCCAGGAGCTCTAGGCCGTACATGATGAGGACGCCAAGGGCTTAGAACCATGCCCGGCATGGCATAACTGCTGCTTTTGCTCTTGGGTTCGCTCACATGCACTTCCTGATCACTACCAGCCACGGGGGCACATTCCTGGGTGCTAGGATACTGCCGTGAGCAAGGTCAATGGGCTCTCGGTGTGTGGAGTGGCCATTCCAGGGGCAGAGTCAGACAGAGCAACACCAGGGAAAGGAACCCATTCATGACACAATTCCAGGAAGTGATGAGCATTTGAAATAAAATAAAGGGCCATTTGTGCGAGTGGGGACAAATGAGAGCCCCCACTATTATTCTGATAGATGGTATTACTGTCACCACTGGGTTCTGAGGCAGGGCTAAAAACCAAAACCAAACGTTCAAACCTAACTAAGCTTCTACTATGTGCCAGAGGCTTGGGAGAAAGACAAGTATGACCCAGCCCCATCTTTCCAAGGGACAAAGAGGCAGATTCTCACGCGTTCACTCACTCCCTTGACACCTGTGAACCAAGCTTTCCTATGCCTGCACCTCCCGGGGTACTCGGTACCGGGCAGTGAAGGAGAGAGCCCCACTCCCTGCCTTCACAACTCAACGTCTGGCTGAGATAGATAGGAAACAAATACGAGTAACAAACAAACAGAATAAATAGAAATTGTGACAAGTGTTACAGAACAAAGGAGACAGCAGAGAGGGAGAATCCCCAGGACACAAGGAAATGAAAAGCCTGGTGGAAGCGGTCACCTTGGGAGGCACCACGTGTCCCCCGCCTGCCTCCTGTTGCCACCCAAGGCTGCAGGAAGAGGCCTCCTCCGGATTTGATTTCAGTGCCGCTCAGTCCTGGATGATCTCTGTGTTTCGAAGGAGAACTTGCTTTGGGCCAAAAAAACACATTACTTAGGTTCAAGGGTAGTAACTGAACTGAAAACCAAGGCAGCTGTGATTTGGGACAGACAGTGAAGAACAAGCCAGGATGACATAAAGAGAATTTTGTTTTGATGGGAGCAAGCACAGGTTTTGAAGGAGACCCTGATCCAAACGGAGTGGAGAGAGCTAACTCATAAACGAGCAAGAGCAGGAGACAGGTTTTCACAAGGTTTACACCAATCATCATTAACCCCAACGACAGGGGATGCTTCTGGATCCTCACACCGCAAAGGGACTGAAGGATTTTGCTTCTTGACTGAAACAGGCCTCCAGACCAGCACTTCTAAATGCCTTGCGCTGGCTGAGCCAGTCCTGAAGATCCACAGTGAAATACGGAAATGAGAAATGCGGACAGGGCAGGGGAGGTTAGGTACAGCAAAGTCTATTTCATTAAAATCTTAGACTGGGCATGGTGGCTTATGCCTGTAATCCCAGCACTTTGGGAGGCTGAGGCAGGCAGATCACTTGAGGCCAGGAATTCCAGACCAGCCTGGCCAATATGGTGAAACCCTGTCTCTACTAAAAATACAAAAATACTAGCCAGGTGTGGTGGCGGGCGCCTGTAGTCCCAGCTACTCGGGAGGCTGAGGCAGGAGAATTGCTTGAACCCAGGAGGTAGAGGTTGCAGTGAGCCGAGATCGTGCACTCCAGCCTTTTTTTTTTAAACTATGAAATGTCCTTATTAAAAAAAAAAAAAAATACGACAACAAAGGAGAGAGTAGCTAAGGACTTATTACTTTTTTTTTTTTTTTTAACATCCTTATTTTAATAAATTAAACAACTGGTTGCTGTAATGTGGGTGTGTATAGGGGAGTGGTTACTACTGAAAAGGAAAATCTTAACATCTAGATAGAATGACCATGGTCCTGTTCGTCTTGGCTTCTAAGATGTGGTCATGGTTCTCAGACTACGAGGTCCTCAATGCGGGGGCTACACTGCCCACTGTGGGCATCTAGGAAAGCATGGGGGTGCTCCAGGTTGTCACAAGGACTGGGGGCACTCATGACACTCAGAGGCACAGGCCAGGGATGTGAAATGTCTTGTGATTTGCAAAGCAGTCCTGACAAGAAAGTACTGCCCGGTCCCAAAGCCCAATGATACCCCTTTCTCCAGCTAGGAAGCATTAGCCAGGGGGTGGGGGCTGTGCTCTCTGGCCCCCAGGGGCCACGGCTTCCCCTTCCTTTCCTGCCTTTGCAGTCACTGGACATCAGAGGGCACTGCCACTCCAAGGACATGAGAATAAGTATCTCCCGTACCAGCCACCCTCCCCCATAAGCCATTCTGGCCCGTCTTTGAAATAGGAAGGTTGTTTACACTTGCTCTGCTTTGAATCCTTGTTAATAGATTATAGTTTTTTTTCCCCTACAAGCTTTAATTGACAAACTAAAAGCATGCTGCATCCATAATTTTGACACTGGTTTTTACAGGACATGCCCATAAAATCTGAGTCTGAGCCCCACTAGTCTCTAGCATGAACAAAGAACTTTAAACCAGAGGCTCGATGAGAAACTTCCCGCTGCCCCTCATCCTCCTCCTTTCCCTCACCTGTTATCCCAAGGCATCCTGGTCTCAGACTCAGCTCTTACCTGTTTCTGGCTCTGCTTCATCCTTTTCTGCAGGTTCCAAAGGTGTGTCTTGGAGCTTTTTCTTCTGTGGGGCTGCGCTGGAGAAGACGCCAACTGGAGCCCACTCCAGATACAGGGGGACATGGTGGAACTGCAGAGACAAGAGTGATGGCCCTGTGGGTCCTCATTACAACACACTGCTAGGGAGGGACTCAGTCCCATGCAGATCACAGCTCAAGGGTCACAGAGGATGGGCAATTCACCCAAGAATGGAGCTGGAAGGAGCCCAGCCCAGAGCCCTGACTGCTGTCTACTCCCTGAGGACAACACTCGCCCCCGTGCTGCATCTCAGGGTACAGGAGAGAGGCTTTAGTCTCTGTTGCCACCAGACATACGGCAGCTCCAAGGCCCTCTTTGTGCTGTTTCCAATCAGGGTATGAAACGCTAAAGTTTTATACTTTAGATGGGAGTGGGATGAGGAGAGAGCACATCATTGGTAAAGTGCAGCTCTCTAGGAGGAAGTGTGAAATACCCATTAAGAGAACACACTTTCTCTCTATGTGCATATAACCACGGGCAACACCTGTATACACGTGCGTGTGTGTGTGCATGCAGATGTTATTTTTTTAAAAGGATAGCTGGGCATAGTGGCACACACCTGTAGCTACTCAGGAAGCTGAGGTGGGAGGATCCCTTGAGCTCAGGAGTTTGAGGCTGCAGTGAGCTAGGAT